TAAGACAGGTAGGATATATCCCATTTTGAAGGTGCCTGTTTCTTCTCACCAAGCAGGAAGGCAGCTGGAATGACAAGCTTTAGCCATCTACAAGTCGCCTTCGAGGCTACAGGCTCCCAGGCAACTATTTGGCAAGAGGCACCCCCCTCTCTTTCCTCTGCTTTTAAATCTACACACCAGCCGAGCACCAGCTAGTCATCCTGTCAGATCTTTATCGGCACTGTGCTTCTGATCAAGTATTGTGTCTTTAGGAGATTTTTCGGATGCTTCCTCGGAACAACAAGCCGTAACCACTTCCTACAGGCGCGCAGCTCCGGCGTGCCTGCTGCTCCCTTTAAAGGGCCATCTGCTGAAGAGCAGCCACAGCAAACTTAAAAGGTAAACAAATCTCAACCAGGAGAAGATCAGAAGGGCCGGCAGGCAGCCCTACTGGTGCTCATTTATACTCCTTTATCTTTTATCTCCTTCCCTCTCCTCCTAGCTGCTCTCCCACGGTCCTTCTCCCAGGGAAGTCAGTCCGTGTGCTTGCTTTCTGCAATCGTGCATTTTCAATTCTCAAGTTCTTTATGGCTTCTAATTTTAATGTAATTCTCCCCTTTTGGTATACTGCAAACCTGTCAGGGTAAAGCACACTCTTGAACCTGTTCCCAACAGCGCGTAAATAAATCCCTGGCTCTGGGAACAGAAAATCTCCAACCCTTTGCCCAGAAGCAATCTGAAATGGCAGATTCAGAGCCTCCCACTTAACAGCGAGCAGAAGAGGTGCTTTGGCTCGCACCGCTTTTCCAGCTCTCCACTCATGAACTCCTCCCTAGCCATGAAGCCATCAGCAGGACAGTTACCCAGCGTGGATGTGCTACCCTGTGGCAAAATCTCCTCCCAAAGGCACTCTCTTCCACCACAACTCACAAGACCAGAGCTGTGCTGTCCCCTGGCATAACTACAGCTGCAGGGCTTCTCTAAATTAACCTGAACTAAGGCATGTTTTTGAGAGAACAGTCCAGTTTTGATGTCATTTCTTGTTCTGATTGGCCAACCCCAACACGGTCCTCCAGGCGTGTTCCAGTACTCAGCTGTCCCTGCTGGCAAAAAAATAAATGAAGAAACTGGGGCATGTTTGTCTAATTTCAACCTTCAGCTACTGGCTTTTGTTAAACACTTGTTTTCAGAGTGGTGTTCAGCCTTTCACATTTCTGCTTATGTATCACAATTAAGATATTTCAATCTTCTGATAAACTGAAATGTGTATTTTCTGAGCCATCAGTAATGTTGTTACAATGATTTATTCCCTTAATTTCCGTCTTAGTATAATCTACGATACTAAGCTCCATTGCTCTGATACATTTTAGTTTTTGCACACTGATTTAAGTCTTACCCACTGCACAAGCTGCTATTTAACTAGTCTGTAGAAAGGAAAGTATTTTATCAACATATGGTATAAATTCTTCCATCTGGCTTTCCACTGAAGACAAGGCAGAAAGATTTTTGAACACCTCTGCCTTTTCTGTTACTGACAGTGCTGTAATTTCCATTTTAGACTTACTGCTTTGGAAAGAAAACCCTCTTTTGCTCCCCCCAAGTTTTGAACTCAGAGGTCATCTTGCTTTTGTATCAAGCCTTCTTTCTAATCTATATTCAGTTCTCCCTTGCCCAATTTCCCTTCTCTTCCCTGGCTTTTTCAATTGACTGTTGCCCTCTGCTCCTCTTATCTTTATCCTCTTACCTTTGGTAAGGTTTAGAGAACCCCATGCAGCACCAGCTGCATTTATGTCACCAGAAACCAATTATTAAGCAATATTTCAGTCTATCTTAAGTGAATCAGAAAAATAATCACATCAAACATGAAAAAAAGCAGACCTGACACCTCAGACTATCAGACATAATCCACATGTGTTTTTCTGATGTGTCTTAATTATGTGTTATTATTTCAGGATTGTGTAAGGCTATAATTTCTTTTGAAGATGTTCACTATTTATTTTATAGCAGCTAAAATCCACAACATACTACAATTTCAGATTAAAAGCATGATGCTGAGTTATAGTATCATAAAACCAACTTTTGGATAGCTGGTTCAGCA